TATATATGTATATATATATGTTAATAGACGCCCGGGACATATCCGATCAGGTCGGAACCTCATGATGCTCCAACTGATCAAGGACAGTGGTTCCGGAGGGAAAGGATGCCAATGCCTTCCCAAGTGCAAGGGCAACAAGGCCGATTGTGGTGCAAAGGCCATTGGCTGCCAATGTCTTCCCAAGTGCAAGGGCAACAAGGCCGATTGGGGTGCAAAGGCCATTGGCTGCCAACGCCTTCCCGAGTGCAAGGGCAGCAAGGCCAATCGGGGTGCAAAGGCCATTGGCTTTCTGCAAGAGCCCCACCCTACCAGATGTAATGACAATAATGTCGCTGGATGCAAGGGCTGAGGCCTCACAAATCCCTCTTAAGGCTGGCAAGCCATACCTAGGGGGAGATGCCCTGATCAATCGCTGCCAGCGCCTGAACGATCACAGCTTTATCTCGAGCCTGTCAACGCTTGGAGACGGTACAGTAGCCACAGACACAGGAAAACGCCCAGGCATATTAAAGCGCCAAACAATCCCACCCCAACCCATTCCTTAAAGAAGGTGAGAACTGAAGTCAACCAAGAGGTCAGTTCTTTGAGGGTAACAGGAGCAACACGGGTTCCATTAAGTTCAGCAATTTGGACCAGCTGCTGCTGAATGAGTTGTTCTGCCTCTCGCGACCAGTTTCCAGCTAAATAGTCTCCCAGCCTTTTGCTCTTATTTCCTGCATCAATAAATCTCAAAGGGGTTATGCACATATGTTTCATTTGTGAAATGCATCCTACTTGTATCAAACTATATAATTCTCCTACTTGTACTTGCACTAAATCTATTCTTTGATTAGCTGCCACAATGCCTGACAGCAAATGTTTGTTAACCACATTTTGGGTCTCGAGGACCCTTGAAGTTTGTTCCACAACTTTGTTAATGATTTGTGCCGTTTGTATTTGATTGGCCATAACCACTGCCGCAGTTATAGCGCTGCCTGCCAAAAAGACTATGGCAGCCACTATTGCAGAAGTAATACCAAAGTTCCTACGTTCCCTTAGCAAGGTCATCAGCGGAAAAGTATCCGGATCTACTTCCACTGGAATGGGAACTATAGTAGGCACCTTCATGACCACTGCAGTTGACCAGGATTCTGCAAGCCAGCATTGATCTTCAGCACAATTTACAATGTGATTAGCGGAACTCACAAGTAAAAACGCAAAAGGTGCCTGTACACACACCTCAACCCTGGAATAAATGGCGTTAGACTTCTCTCTATTAACAGTGATATTATATAATCGCCCAGTTTTTACTGTTCCTGAGATGTTCAGCATCTTATGTACTACGTCATCGGTCCGAACCAAGGCGGAAATATCAGACACGGCACCGGCCTCATTAGAGACAAGCCATTGAAACCAAGGCCAACCATCTCCAACACTTGAAGCATTTCCTCTTCCCCATACAAATCGCTTTAGTGGGGGTGACATAGTAAAACCCTCACTAACTGATTTTTTTCTCCCACGATTTGCTTTGGCATATGGTAAAAACCGGGGGAAATGAGGTATCTGGTTCACAATGGGGCGAAGCTGTAAATTGAGTGCCAATCTGGGTCCCATCATAAGGTTGGGGTACGCGCGCAGTGCTTGTAATGGCTAGGGTGGTAATATTTACTGCGTTTGAGCCATTTTCATCACTGCCGTTGCCTGTATGCTGTCCTTGAGTATCCTGTGTCAGGACGGAAAATATCGTTCCGACAGAGACCCTAGAATTCTGAAGAGGATTTAACCAGGCAGTAATATTTCTCTTTCTTAATAGAATGCAGTTGGCGTTGTTCAGGGAAAAACAATAGGAACCTAACAAGTTAATCTTAGAAGCATTAAAGCATTGTGGATTACCACCAATAGGAATCATGCAGGGCACATCCATATCGCAGGATGTAGAAAAAAATTACCGGAAGAGCACTGGAATTAGCATGCACTGGCATCGGGATGGGCCAGGTTCTGGTCACTGCCCACAGCGTCATCTTCTTGGCGACGATTGTGCGGATCACCATCAGGCTCAGCACTATTATGAAGGTCTTCATGGCGTAGCACTCGAGTCAGTCTTTCCGGCACCCAAACAGGATTGTCTTGGTCCTGCGGAAAGACACAAACAGCTCCCCTGGATCTGTCTATAACCGGATCCGGGCCTTTCCATGTGTTATCCAACACATTCTTCCATTTTACAGGAGGAAATTTAGTCTGAATCGGATCCACATGCCTACAGACAGCGGATTGTCCTTTATCATTGACAATCAGAAAATTTAAAGTAAATAGTAGCCTTCTGCTATTTCCCCTTTTTGTTTTTGTATGAGTTCTTTCAGGGATTGGTGAGCTCGCTCCACCACACCTTGACCCTGGGGGTTATATGGCAGGCCCGTGACATGGGTCACCTGCAGTTTCTTACAAAAGGCTTGAAAACCGTTCGAAGTGTAGCCAGGGCCATTATCTGTTTTAAGAATCCTGGGTTTTCCCCAGGCTGCCCAAGCTTCCAGACAGTATGTAAGAATATTAGCGTTTTTTTCTCCCGAAAGAGGGGAGGCATGGATAATGCCTGAGCAGGTGTTGACAGACACATGAACATACTGTAATCTCCCAAAACTAGAAATATGTGTAACATCCATTTGCCACATCTTACCAGGTCGCAACCCTCTAGGATTGACCCCAGTATGAGGCGGATGTTGGAAGGTTACACAAGAGGGACAGGAAGTCACAGTCTCCCTGGCAACATAGTGTGGTATTTTAAACTTTAAGCGTAGAGTTGTAGCTGGAACATGATACAATTGATGGAACTGCTTAGCGAGTTCCGGGTCAGTCAGGACTGGCAAAGCTAGGGTCCTAACAGCAGTATCTGCCAAGGCATTATGCTCTGCCATGGGGCCTGGAAGGAGAGTATGAGCTCTTACATGTTCAATATAAAAGGGTTTAGCTCGTCGCCTAATGAGGCTACAGAGTTCAATCAAGACGCTTGCCACGGGACTTTTGGGGCTGATATCTGCAGCTATTTTAAGGTGTCAAACTACATTGACAACATAATGCGAGTCGGAGATCAGATTAAACGGCTCCGAAAATGTTTTAAAAATGTGGCAGACTATGTGGCATTCCACAATTTGAGGTGCCTCTGGTTCAAATTGAACAATAACCGGGTTCTCTCCAAGCACTACATAGGCTCCTCGGCCACTTTTGGAGCCATCTGTATAAATGTCTTTGACTCCTGCCAAGGGCTTGGTGGAGGTAATTTTGGGAAAAATAACTGGGTGACGGGTTACAAACTGTAATAAGGGACTTTTAGGATAATGGTTATCTATTTTTCCAGAAAAGCTACAAAGAAGAACAGCCCAATCATCTACTGTAGCCCCTAGAACTTGAATTTGGGATCCCTGTCAGCTGCCCCTTTCACTGGCAATATGGCGGTGGGTCGGAGTTGTCTGGACTATCCCGTCCCCGCTCATACTCCGCGGCAACTTCTTCTAATTCTTCCTCCTCCTCTAGATCCAACTCCTCCTCAGAGGTATCTGAGAGAGTCAGGTGTGCAAACTCACCCAGGACTGGGTACAGCCCGGAGGGTTTTTGCCCCATTTTCCCATGGTCTGTCTTTTCTTTATTTCCTTTAGAGCTCTTTTTACTATCCCTAGGTTTCTTTTCTTTTAGTTCTCCCTCCTTTTTGCTATCTGATTCTGACACGCTATCCTGGTGGGCAGAGAGAGCTCTGCGACTCTCGCGGACAATATCGATACACTTGCCATCTTTAAGGCAAGAGCGTATCAACCGTCACAGGGGCTGTGTTCCCGGCTGTAATCTCCCTTCAGCTTTAGGCTTCTTGAGATCTCGTCCTAGCTTTACCCAACAGGGGAGATTGACATCCCCTGTCACTCTGAACCATGGAGCCGCCTGGTCAATGTCCTCCAAGAATTCCCTTATAGAGCGATCAGAGAACTTTAGATCTCGCTGTTTCAATAATTGCTGAAGCGGGCGGAGAAAACTCTCTGCAACTCACGGGTTTGAACTGTCATTCCCCATGGTGTTAAAATGATCACAGCTACTACCTAGCTAGGAATAGGTCTATTCCTCCCACCAGCACGTCACTGTTACCTTCGGAGAACTTACCGGTACCGCCGCTCCATACGCCTAAGTTCTGAATCCTTCCCGATGAGCCGGGGGTCCTTGCACGGTGCCCAGATGTCAAAGTCTCGGGTTTCGGCACCACTTGTGGCACACCGCGTCCGCCAGCAGAAGAGATGACCACAACAGGATTCTTCTCAGAACGTAATTTTATTGGGAGTGCACAACTTGAGGTTGATGGTGAAGGACCCCGGACCCTGGCGTGCACGGCTTATAAGCAGTGCAGAACAAAGCCTGAGACATGTCCGAGTCTGAATGGCTCTGGCTGCTCCTGATCTTACGCATCAGCTCACGATTGGCGGCTGGATCGTGCCATGCGGGAAAGCGGGAAAGTGCGCCAAGCGCCTCGGGGCGGGGCCAAAGCTGCTTGAGAGGCAGGAAATGATAGCAGGGTTGTGGCGCCTTGGCGCCCTACATTTGATCATTTATAGAAATCTTCCAGAATGTTGCCTATTGCAATTTTTGATTCTTCCTCCATGTTTATTCCATCCTTATAGAAGGCTCTGGATTTTTTAATTTTTCTGGTGAGATATGTCCTCCACAGTGACTGGGAATGACTGAACCACTTTAGACTTGGGGGTCTGCGAGGGGCCCCCCAAGGAGTTTCCTGATGGTATTGGGTTGCCTTGTCTGTCTTTTGTTGAACTACATTTGTTGGTCAGTGTTTGCTTTTGCCACACCTTCTACATAATCCAAAAGGCTGATACCTTTTATTTTTGTCATTCCCAGAGGAGACGTTATTTTCAGGAATTCCTTGCCTACAATCCCTTCTCAGATGTCCTATTCTACCACAATTGAAACATTTGGTATTTTGATGTCTCCTCATTCTTTTGTAAATTGCTTCTCCTACCCAAGATTCAGTATTATAGTCAAATGTCTCAATGTTCATTGTATGAAGGATCTGTTTGTCCATTGGTGCTTATATAAACTTTAAAGGCCCAAGTATCTTTTTGCATTCTAAGTTGGTATTTTCAAAAGCCAGAGATTCAATAAGTACTTGTCTAGCTTCTGGGTCTGTCACTCCTATTTGTACAACCTTAGTTAATCTTGTAAAAAAAAGTCACTAAAGGGTTCTCTCTGGCCCTGTTTGACCTTGGTATATAATTCAATACTTTTTTTTCTAGTTCTTGAATCCTGCCCCAAGCAAGGGAATGTCTCCAATGACCTAGGGACCCCCAATTATCAAGATCTTAATATATGGGATTATAGGGATGCTACCCACATTCAAACTGTAACTTTGTTTTCTCATTCTCTCTAGACCAATTGTGCTAGATAGCTTAAAATATGTTATCCAATAGCTCTCCTTTCTGGTGTTTAAGCCTCCTACTATTTTCTGTGTGTCTCTGTGTGTGTGTGTGCATGTGTGTGCAAGCATGTTTGTGCGTGTATGTTTGCAGGTACATATAGAGGTCAATACTCAACTTCAGATGTCATTCTTCAATAGCCACCCACCTTGTTTTGAGAGACAGGGTCTCTCACTAACACACGGCTCACTAGTTAGGCTTGGCTATCTAGACAGGAACCCTAGGGATTTTCCTGTTTTCATTTCCCTGGGGATAGGATTACAATTATGAACCAACATGTCTAGCTTTTTATGTGGGTGCTGGGGGTTGATCCTCTTTCATAAGCTTATGAGCCAACTAGCCTGGAGTATCGAGGCAGCAGAAACTAGAAAAATCCTGCCTCAACAGAGGGTGGAAAGTGAGAACTGACTCCTCAGTGCTGTCTCCTGAGTGCCACAGGCCCATACTTGCACACCATATATACACACACACACACATTTTGCACACACACACATTACCATTTATTCTTCTCATATGTAAAGTGTTTTCTCTTCCTAATCCCAAGATGCTAGGTTAACAAGGCACACAAGCCAATGACTGCTGTTACCGGGAAATGGCACAACTGGGAAGTTGGTAAGAGTTGTGATGCTTCATCTAAACCAGAAGGCCAAGGGCCACGTGTCAGAAGCAGCCAATGTGACTGCAGCTGGTGATTCAGCTGCAGAGGAACCCAGGTCAGATTTTCCAGTTGGTTCTGAAAAGTTTATTTATTTATTTTTTAAATATGAAATCCAGTCAACCAAAGGGGATTATATTAGTCAGACTTGGACTTGTTGAGCCACAATAATTTACGTAATTAGCTCAGAGGAGGGATGTCTTATTTTGATTCACTATTTCAGAGGTGTTAGTCCATCATGATGAGGAGGAAGTGGTCATGAAGCAGAAAAGGAGATACAGGAAGGAAGCCAGGGCAAGGCTTCCCTCACCAGTGACCTTCCTCCCACCAGTCCCTATGTTCCACTCTTCTACTCTCTCCCAATAGTCCTTAAATTTTGAATCCATCACTTGATGACGTCATTAATAAGTCAGAGCCTCAGAATTTGATAGAAATGCTCATATGCTACACTATGTCATATGTCTTACTAATCTCTTAGGTGGTTATCTTTGTGTGTGTGTGTGTGTGTGTGTGTGTGTGTGTGTATGCACGCACGCGTGCGGTGTTTTGCCCGTATATATGTCTGCACAGTGTGGATGTGCCTGCTGCCTACAGAGGGCAGAAAAGGGCAGCAGAAACTGGAATTACATATGTTTGTGAGCTGCAATGTGGGGACTGGGAAATTAACCCAGGTCCTCTGGAAGAGCAGTCAGTGCTCTTAACCACTGAGTAGTTTCTCCAGCCCCTCTTATGTGTTTATTAATCCAATAGATTGAAAATCAAGGTTAACCATTACAGGAATGTCAGAAGACAAAATGACAAGATATGTTTAGAAACTGAATTGGTTTTTATTTGCATTCTAGTGTTGGACAGCACTGTATTCTATACATAGAGCAAAGGCTTCTCTGGGGGTGGGGGACTATATATATAAGGAATCAGAATGGAAGTCATCAGGTTACTTCTAACATTAAAACATAATACCCACATTTATATTTCTAGTAACTGCCCCAATACTGTTGATGTTGTGGATGGGATACAGGACTTTGGGGATCACTATAGTGATGTACCAGATCCACCGTAACAGTGCAGAACCTATAGTCTCATACCGAGGCACACCTCTAGAATTCACACATACTCCTGCTTAATTCTGCACAGATCTGCTTAATCTTAGTGTGGTGGCTGGTTTGGGTGACTACTTGCCACAAATTAGAATGATCTGAGTAGGGAGCCTCATTGATGTGACTGTGTCTTTATTGATATGAAAAAAGATCCATTACATGTGGGCAGCATTTTTGGTAGTAGGCCCCCCCAATTAAAAAGGGAGGGGTAAGATAAAAAGGAGGCTATTTTCCCCTTAACTTGCTTGACCTTCCGTCTTCCCCTTGCCGCTGACCTTGCTGCTGCTGATTCCATCGCTGACTTCAAAGCCAGCATTTCCAACTTTGCACTATTGACAGAGAACCAGAGACTCTCCAGAAACCTTCCAGGGTTTGGGTGGTAGACAGGGACGACTGAAAAACCCAAACTTGTGAACAGACCATCTACCAGGCTGTTCATTCTTTCAGTGTGAGACAGTCACTGTCTGGTGAGAGAACCAGGGTGGAACAGCGACTGGGCTATCAGCCCCTCAGGAGTGAGACAACTTATTATGTATCACAACTCTCTATGTATGTATTCGTGTTATCAGTTCTGTCCCTCTACAGAACCCTGGAAAACACACTTATTAAGTGAAATTTATGGAGGATCATTATTTTGAACTAGTCTCTTGCTTCAGAGGTCTAGAAGACCAAACCAAGCCAGAATGGAGTCCCTTAAGGTCAATGCCACTTAACTAAACTGGGTATTTTGAAATACCCAGCCTTTACATTGAAAAAAAAAAAAAAGGACAGCAGCCAATCAGAACAGGTAAGTCCTATGAATGCAACTGTAAAAGCATCCATCATTTTGGCCCTTTCTTCTTCTAAGGTTCATTTCCTTTCAGCTGATACAGCCAATCTCTACCGCTCACCTTTGGGAAGCTCTTTTATTTTATAGAATGGGTTATTGCCTAGATTCTTGAGTCATAATTAGCCAATTTGATCTTTAAATTCATTTTTTCTATCTATATTTTCATCTTGTCAGTATTTGAACACCTATGTAAGCCAGGTTCAGTCAGATCATAACCTTTTTCTTTTTTCTCCAAAAATAATTGCCTCTTTAATTTACTAAACTACCCAGATTTTTCAGTTTCTATATTTTATGCTAATGCTAACCTTTCAATGCTACAGAACAGGATTTGTTCCGGGTAGGTGAAAAAAATTTATTAATGTTTAAGCCACAAGCATTGGCCAATGCCTCCGCCATTAACTTCAAAGGAAACATCATTGATTTTCCTTCAGGCTGAATGCCATTTTGCACTAATTCCGGGTCGTTTGCACGAATCCCAAACAGTAGCACGGCGGGAAGAAAGTGGGCAGGTGACCACGCTCACGCAGACGTGCGGCTCTCAGCGTCGGGTTGGTTCAGACGTGAGTCGACAGGGGTGGCGGGGGAGGCGGGGCTCGCGAGCTACGACCACGTGACCACGGAGGCCGCGCCGCTCCAGGTCGCGCGATTCGCCGTCACATCAGCTTATGGCGCCGGCCGCTGATTGGCGGACTGCCTGCACGTGGGCGGGGCTCTGCTGGGCGGGCCGTGCCTCGCACTCCCCAGCTCCAGCCCCCGCTGGCGGTGTAGCGGCGGCACACTGAGCGGCTCTGGCCCGGCAGGTAGGTTAGGTGTGCGGGCAGCTGGATACCCACGAGTGGAAGGACCTTCGAGCGATCGCAAGGGATCCCCAGTTGCCGGATGCTGGGACAGCAGCCTCCGCACAGGTGTGACCGTCCCCGCTAGAGGCGCAGGTGGCATGGGGTGGTGGCTGGGTGGACACCTTGGGCCGAGGGGCCTGCGATGTGGACAGGGCTGTTGAGGGGCAGGGAAGGACACCGACCCGGGAGAGCTGGGTCACCACCGGTGCTGGAGGTTGCCTATTGTGGATCCCACATCCAGGCAGAGATGGGAAACGCTGGTGCGTTGCTTTGCGACCTGCGTCTGATCTGACAGTTAGTTACTGCGACCTAGTGAGGGTAGTGGGCCAGCTCTCCCTGCCATTTTTGAAGACTGCAAGAAGGCGGCATGGTTACTTGAGCATCATTAAGAAAAGTCGCGTAAACTGGCCTCCCTGCTTTATTGCCGCGTAAACTCGAAGGTGGTCCCATTGAAAACATGGCCCCATTGCAGAAGTTGCCAGTCTGAAAAGTGGTTGGGGTCAAAACTTGTGAGTCAGCTGAGTTTGTGACACCCTCAGTTGTTTTGTTAAAGTGCTTGCTGATAACAGCCTTGTGACCCTTGATCTTTAACTGGGATTTTTTGGGGGCATGCATTATGTAATAAAATTAATGTGGAGAACTCAGAATTCCTTATCCGTCTGTGTGACTCTAGAGAGGTAGCGATGTAGAAGAAGCAAACAGTGGGCTTTACACCACATCGACGACTCCTTACAGAACAAAGTTATTTAAATTATTCCTTCTTTCACTGTCCTGTATATTATGCTTATACAAGTATATACCTTATAGACTGGTGAGAATTAGATGAGAGAACCTCTCCTTTACCCCTCCAAATGTGTAAAAGTCAGAGGAGTTTCTCGGTACAAGGAATCCGAGAACTCAGGAGGCTGAAGTAGGAGAATTGAAGTTCCAGGCTGCATAGCTAAGACCC